AATCTTTCTATACGTTGCTCCAAACAATACAGCAAGGCAAGAAGAAATCCTTAATCTTTTAAAGGATACATTGGAAAGATCAAGCAGAAAACCGAAACGTCTTCTAATTATGGGAGATTTAAACGTCAACACAGCAAATTTGCCAACCACAAGCTCCTTGAAGTCAAATGCAAAACATCAAACGAAGAGAAAAATTTTGGCCCTGCTTAATGAGAAAAATCTCTTTGACGTATACGAGGCTATACAAATATCTACATAGTCAAACAGAAACAGTGAGTCAAGAATTGATTACATGTGGGTGTCAAATAGCTAGAAGTACAACATGGTTAGCCCGAAGGTAGAGGATATGGACACATACACAATGAGTGACTATAAACTACTATGTGCAAAAATTATCACAGAGCTAGAACTAAGAAAAACAAACGCAGCCAAAAGAAGACAAGAAAAGCGCAAAAGAGTTAGTATAGAAATCAAAAAGGCATCAGAAGAGGATTGGTGCAACTACAAAAAGAATTTGGAAAAAAAACTCAAAAATCAGTGGCACAAGTGCAAGCCAACTAGTATAGATGACAAATGAGATATAATAGAGAAATGCATCATATTAGCAGCAAATAAAAGTCTCCCAAGAAAGAAAAAGATGCCTGAAGTATTACAAAGCAGCAGAGAAGGCGAAGAAGTAAAAGCACTAAGGTTGGCTGTGAGAGCATGTGATAGAGGTTTTCGCAAGATCAAGAAGAGACTACTACAAAATAGCGAAAAGAATGAGATTCTAGCCGCTTTAGCATATATAAAGAACTGGGCTGAACTAGAAACAGAGACAGAAATCGATCTACTAAGTAGAGAAGGCCTGAAGAACTGGGCAAAGATCTTGCACAAGGAATGGCGTCAAAAAGTTAAAAGAATAGAAGAGATAGAAATCAGAAAGAATATAGAAGAGAGACACGACTCAATTGTATCCAACCAACGGAAAATGCTAAACAGTCTACTTAACCGACCACATAGACAGATCAGAATAGATAGAATTGTGAAATATACAGAAGAGGAGAGTGAACTAGTGCAAGAGCCAGATGAGGTACTCAAAGAAGTCAGAGAACACTTTGAAAAGCAGTTCCGTAAGAGAAATATAACTCAGTATGAGGCTCTAACACCAAGGTGGAGAAATCAGTATACCCCACGAGAAGATATTAAAGAGGCTTGGTATAATAGTATTGCAGATAGCATAAGTCTGGCCGAATGAGAGCAAGTATTGGACCAAGTGAAAACCAAGTTAGCCCCAGAAACATCAGGCATTACATACTCCCTGATTAAAAAAGTAAGCACAAACACAAAACAGGTTTTTATGAATCTCGCCTCAAGGTGCTTTAAAGAAGGTAGCATGCCAAAAAAGTAGAAATTAGAAACACTATACTCTATACCCAAAACCGAAGACTGGTGTTTTAATCTAAATAATATGCGGCCAATTCTCCTGCTAGAAGCTTTTAGGAAGATGTGGTTAGAGTTCTAACAAACAGGTTGACAAAAGTCCTTCAGGAAAAGAAAATTCTAAAAGATAGAAACTTTACAGGTCTTCCAGAAGAGGGCACTATGGCGCCAGTACAACTTATAAACTGCCTTATAGAAGAGGCAAAAGAGAAGAAAAAAGAATTGTGATTCCTGTTCCAAGACATGAAAAAAGCTTTCGATTCAGTAGAGCTAAAAATGCTTAGTCTCGCACTGCAAAGAATCAAGATTCCACAAATAACAATTAATTTTATTATAAACCTGTTCGAAAACTGAGAAATAGAGGTCTTAACAAGCCTGTGTACAACAGAAAAGTTTATAGCAGGTGACGGAATCGATCAAGGGGAGGTAATTTCCTCTTTGGTTTGGAGAATATTTTATGATCTTCTGCTGGCAGAAATACAAAATAATGAAAAGTCAAATGGCCAAAAGACTTAAGTAGAATAGAGACATGCTCCCAATATATGAATATACCAGTGATAGCATATGCAGATGACACCACCTTCGTTGTACCTAACAAGGAGGAGCTAAAAGAAATCATTACGATAGCACAGGAATTTTACAAAATAAATGACATTGAAATAAATAGTAAGAAATCAGAGCTCCTAGTTATAGGCGGAGAGAGAACGAAGGAGCCAAGGTTCATTAAAATGGGTATATTGAATGAAAGAGTTATTGAAAAGAAACCGAGTGAGGTAACAAGGTTCCTCAGTATTTGGCTATTTAGGAAGATCAACTAATCCTATATAATAGATATTATTAGAAAAAAAACACAGACAGTCATTAAAGCAATATACAAAAAGAGCACAACTCTTGTACAGTTAGTTTATATAAACAATAGAGTTTTAATCCCGAAGTTGGAATCAGTGTTGGAAATTCAAAAAAAATTTAATGATTTTTGTGAACATAAATTTTTTTTTTAATGTTCATATAAAAATAAATATGTTCACAAATATGATTTATATTAATACAAATAGTAACAAATGGAATATTCCTAATATTTAGAAAAATCATAATAATTATAATTTATAACTAATAAATATTATGTTTATTGAGTTTAT